AAGGTTCTGTTTTTTGCCTGTTCAGGAGAAGTTCCAGAGATGCATCTCTGGAACAAGATAAAAGGGTGCAGAATCGAAGATATATCTCCGAAATCAGCATGCCATATTTTGAATGGTTCACATTTGTCTACAACTTCTATAAAATAAAGTTCTCTTATTTTTTATTTCGCACAAACTCAAAATGTCTCAGATGTTACAAATAAACATTATCTGGTATGTCGTAAATGTCTCTTTCTCCAGCGCGACACCTGAGAAAAAGTTTAAGCTCATTGAGTACTCCTCTCTTGCAGATTTAAAATACGAAGTCCATAATATCTTACCTTATGGAGACAATCGAAAAATTTGCAAGCTCGAGTACCGTTCACCGTCGATTGACAACGGAGGGAAGATTGAGTTTAGCAACTTTGAGCTCAAGACAGATGCAGATGTAAGGGCTATGTAATATATATTTTTGTTTTGAAACAAAAGTTTCGCTCGAGTTGAAAGCAGCGATTTTAAGATCGATCGAAGATATTGTGAAGATGTTGAAGCGTACACCTGGATATTGAAGTGTAATGTTGCATTTTATGTTGAAATCGCATATGTAATATTTATTTTGTGTTATGAATGTTAATTTTATTTTGTCAAATTACAAGTTTTTTTATATTTCTGCCTCTACCAGTTCTTTGCATACGTTACAGAAATGTATCTACAGAAATATACTGGAGATGCATCTCTGATATTAAAAAACCAAATAATAGGGTGTCACTCAAAATAATCTACGTTGTGTGTGCATTAAGTGTGCCCGAAGATGCATCTCCGAAATTTAAAAAACATTTTAGTATTTTCACATGATGCTTAAATAACATATAAGGTGCATTAAGAAATCCTCTAAATATTAATATATGTGAATTCATCCAATGATTATGTAACTTACACATTTTTTAGCTACGATAATTTTAAGAAAGAAATAAATTCTTTTCTAGAAATTTATTTTTCTAAAAATCAAGTGATTAAATTTAAGTAATTAATAAAATTTATTTAAGTTCCAATACCTAATACGAGAGAGTATTCAAATGTGATCATTGAGAACAACAATAATTATTTAGACTTGGTTTATTCTAAAGTAACACTTATTTTATAAGAATCTTTTAGACCTGTAAATAAATTAAAAGTATTTTTATTTCTCATGGTTTAATCCTTATATTTCATTTATCAAATATTATAATGCTAATTTAGACATTGATTTTTTTTTTTAAAATTTTATTTTTATATTCAAGTGTTTATATTGACGGCGAAGATAATGAATTCCCTTACGATTGTCGTTGCCTATTGATTCTGATGGTAGAGGTTTATTTGTGAACACTCTGATAATCATGTTAGCAAAGTTTGTGAGTGTGAGGTAGAGTTTTAGAATAACGTATACCTAAATATGAATAATTTGTCCGACAATCAAACTGAACCGGTGACCCCTGATTTCCGCCAAATGTTTTTTCTATTTTTGAAAATATTTAGAGTCTTAATGTCGGGCCAAATCCCGCTGTATATTTGCATCTTTCTGTCGTTACTGGGTGTTGTGGACCGCTCTTGAATTTTTTTTTTGAAAATACTATTGCAAACATATTCGATTATTGTTTTTAACAAAAATGTATCATAGAGTAAGCTCTTGCTTCTTCCTCCCCATTTTATCTTGTTCACTTATCATTGAGTTTTCTCTTATGCGTTCTCTATTTTCCAGGGTTGGAAAATACAACTTAAAAAAGATTTCAACAGTTTTTTATGATTATAAGTAAGAGTTTAAAGTTGTTTGGTTGCGGAAATGTAAATGACAAAAATAAATGGAGATTTCGGTGTTAAATGTGAGAAAACTTCTTTGGGACACATTTCATCATCATTACGCTCATGCATAATCATTAGTCAGTAATATGCTATTCTACACAACTATTAATATTACTAATGTTGCTTTCAACGTATCTCATTTTTTACTCAACGTGAGATCAGTTGTATTACCTAATAGGCGATGTCTCGAACTATTAAATGTAACAACATTAAATTTCAATAGTGTTATAAAATTATTAATTTCCGATCATCAACATTATATATATATATATATATATATATATATATATATATATATATATATATATATATATATATATATATATATATATATATATATATATATATATATATATATATATATATATATATATATATATATAAAACCTAACTCTATGTCTAGGCATTAACATCTAATAGCTGAAGACTTAGATCTAGTAACACCTAACACCTTTCATATGTCAAGCCATACCATGAAAATAAATGTTAGATAGATAATCCAAAACAAGCATTAAGAACGAAGAATAATCAATATTAAAGCTTAAGTGGAATTATGAAAAACACCATGAATGAATAAAACATAAATATATAATGACTACATATACCCCTAACAAAGAGATTTATAACTACACTTACTCATCGTCGCTCAACAAATAATCTCAAGGAGAAAAACTTAGAGAGCCATCTGCAAGTGTCACTACGAGTAACACTTCTACTTTTAATCCCCTTATCCTATTCTCCTATTGATACCAAAGTGAACCTACTCCTTTTATGTACTCCCTTGAATCCACATAAACTCATAAGAATTATATCTGAACCTCCTACTCATACGCTAGAGAAAGGTAGGCTCGCTAGACGCGGCACCCATCCTAGCCTAGCGCACCTACTTTCTTTTAGGTTAAGAAATGCCAACTCACCCTACAATTAGCCATAACCTCTATAGCTCACCAAGTGTACCATCCATCTCCGCTAAGTGTACATACCATTCCTTTACAATGAATTTACTTAGCCAGTAAGTCTTTTCTCGCCTATGCTTTCCTAGCGCGCCCATGAACGTGGCCTAGCGAGCCTTGCTTATATAAAGTCGGTCTTGACAAGAATTTTGTGTGTTGGTTGGTGGTTTTTCAGTCCTTTTCACATGTTTTTGATAAATATGCAAGTAGAAAGTCCATACAAGTGTTTTAACACCTCATAGATAAATAAGGGGCTTTTGTATTGATTGCTTGTGAAAAAATTCAATAAGTGGCTTTGTATTTTACATAATTTTGGAACTTATCAAAGTCCTTATATGAACTTTTAAGAAATTTTCATTTAGACATTTTAATAAACTTCCTTCTTGTCTTCAAGAGAAACACCTATTTATATTCTTTGATATTACTAATAGGCTATGGCTCTAGAAGAGCATTAAAGTTAGCTAGGTTTATATCTGAGAACTCTATGGGCGTGAACTTTTGGACTCTTTCCTTTCATAAATCTTTAGTCGTGCAAGGAACTAAAAAAGACATGACTTCATGTTGAAGTAAATTTTCGTTACATAGTTATTCTCATTGTGGTACTTCATTTTTCAAATGAACTTTCAATGATAACGTACCTAACTCCACTAACATGGGCCACCCAATAATGACTTGAGCGACTCTGACGTGACTCCACTTTGCTAACTTGTCTTCCCTGGAGGCGTTGTAGGAGAGACTTTCCTAAGATATATAAAATTGTCCAAGAGTTTTCATGACAACGAGAAAATTGTCCTACAGGCTGAATATTTCTCTAGACACCTTTTTTCGTGCACTAATTAAGACACCCTCGATATTTTCCTCGGAGGAGGGGGTTGTGGACTTAAAAAGGAAATTGTCTTTCAATTTTAGGCCCTAAATACACGAAATATCGAGGATGCAACGATCTAATTTTATTTAGTAATGGAAACACCATCAACTCGCTCCGCCATGTCAGGTTATATCTCCTAATTTTTGGATATTCATATCAGGCGATCATTTTGATCATGGATGACTTATGGCTTCCTTTGTACGTCAAGAGACCTCAGAAAAGGTCATTGACTTCTCTGCTGGAAGGAGAGCCCTCTCCTTGTGTTCACAAGGGGGTTCATTGTCTAATATGAAATAAGTGGAAACATTGAACAAAATTTTTCACATATGGCACAACATGATTTGAAAAGACCTTTATCTTCAAGTGATTATGATGAACTTCTCAGTGACGAACGTTGTCGGTTGATCCTGATAATAAAGGATGCACTTGTAAACACTCTTTGACAATAGAGTTAATAGAGTCTGTGAATATGAAATTATAAATTTTTAGAATAGCATATTCTTAAATATGAATCGTTCATTAGACTTTATAACTATGGTTTTAGAGTTTAGAGACCTTAAAACATTCTTTGGGACAACAATCTCATAGAATAACTAATATTTTTTTTATCTAACAAATCAAAAGAGGTCAAATAGCCTAGATCTTATATATCTTTAGGACAAATATATGTTTCCTAGTCCGCTCTATTTTTCAAGATCCAATTCGTCGACACACTCAAAAGGATTGACTCAGTCCTCAGATCAATTAAAAAACAAGTATCTTATTAATTGTCAATTTAAATCTTCTAAGTCCTGTTATAAAAAATAAAAAATAGTATTTTTTATTCTATGCCTTTTTTTCTCTTATGAATACCGGGACCTAAATAAGTTGTTGGGCATTTTATGAATAGTTATTAAAACTAAAAGTACTTGTTGCCACTCCACTAAGTATCATCAACTCATGTGTCACAATGATAACTTATTTAGCTGGCAGCTGTATTATTCAATAAAGATTTTCGACAAAAGTTAATAATCTTTTTAGGGCTTCAAAAGCACCACATTTAAAGTATTTAACAAAAAAAAAGCATGATTAAAATAAAAGCTTTCTTTGAAGTTTCAATAAAAAATAGTATTTGTACAGCAAATTTTACTAATCTTGGGTGTGAAGTTAATAATCATTTCAGCTAGGTCTCTCCTTCCAACTTTGAAGGTGTTTTTGGGTCCATTAAGCACTTTTGTATTTTGTTAAGCAAAGTTTTAAATGTGTCAATATCAATATTTAATTTGAGCTGTTTCTTCAAACACAAGCAAACTTGTGAAAGTACCAACTCATCCTTATTTCATCCACTTTCCATCATCACATCTTCTTACTTTTTCAGAGAAATGGGGGTCAAATTTTTTTTCATGCTCTCAATTCTTATTTTACTTTGTTGTTTTTTCTTGAACAGTGTCATGGCTAGTGTTTATGATGTTGGTGATGAAGATGAATGGAGTAGCCAAACAAATTATAATTCATGGGCAGAAAAACACAACTTTAGCCTTGGAGATGTTCTTGGTATTTCTCAACTCAATCTTTGCATAATTATTGTATTTTATTTAGGGCATGTTTGTTTGAGTTTTTTTTTAATGTTATATATTTTTATTTAAAATTTTTTATTTTAATTTTATAATAAATAAATTAATTTTTTTCTTCATAAAAATTATTTAAAAAAATTTATTTTTTAAAAACTAAAACAAACACGCCCTTAATTATTTTAAAATTTGTTTTCGCCAATATATGTTTTGACATAAAATAAAAGATAATTTGTGATGTTGTATTGGTGTAGTTTTCAAGTATGTGAAGGGGCAACATAATGTGTATGAAGTGAGAGAGGATAGTTTTAGATCATGTGAAACAAGTAGTGGAGTATTGGCTAAGTATGAGAGTGGAGAAGATGAAGTGGTTCTTAATAAGGTGAAGAAATATTGGTTCATTTGTAATATAGTAGGACATTGTCTTGGAGGGATGAGATTTGGAATTGAAGTGAAAGAAGATAGCAACAATGTAATTAGTTCCATGGATGGTGGATTAAATCCAAGTATTCAACCAACTCCATTGGAGAGTTCTTGTATTTCTCAAAGATGGAGTGTGGTTGGGAACTTCTTTCCTTTTGGAATTGGATTATTATTGTTTAATTTGTATTTTTGATTATGACTTTGGCTAGGTATATTTATTTTTGTATATTCTGGTTTTTGTTATCTTTACCCATTCTTTTTTTTTTTTTAAATATTTTTTTTTTTAGAAATTGGGATTTTGATATATTAAATTCAATAAAATTTGATCGAAGTAAGTAAGGTCTTAGGCTAAAAATTTAAATTCAAGTTTTCTTAAACATATTGTATTTTTATATGATAATAGTTAAAAGTCCATGCGACACATGTGAATTAATTACTAAAGTAAATTAATTTTATTTTGGTTTTTAAATAAAATGCTCAACAATGAATAAGTAGACTCTCACCATAAGAGCACATACTAGATGTGAGTTACAAGCTCGCCACCAACTATTAGATTAGAAGATCTCTAACATTTTAAGTTGGACTAAACGAATAATAGATAGGGGTTCTTTATGGAGATGTACATAAGAACTTTTGTATTTCTAGAGAGGAGATGAGTAAGGAGTCTATATATTATATGAATAATATGTTATGTACTAAAAGTCCGTAGGTTTAGGGAAAAGTTGGCTTGGAAGGAAAATGATCTAACCATGTTAAGAATGTGACGATGTTTTCACTCCACCACACTATTTTGCAGTGGATTTTCAACACAGATTCTTTGATGAATTATTCATTTGAATTGGAAGAAAGAATTCATTGAAAATTCAGAATCATTGTCTGATCTTATACATTTTAAGGTAGTGCGAAATTGGTTTTTAATATAGAAAACAAAGTTAATGAGTTTGGTTCTAGTTCCATATTTCGTTTTAAGAAAATAAACCAAGTGAACCTACTAAAAGCATCAACTAAGATAAGAAGATATTTGTGTCATAATATGGAAGTTGTGGAGAAATGGCTCCAAAGATCACCATGCAATAATTCAAAAGGAGCATCAGAAATAGAAGTGCTTAAACAAAAAGACAATTTTTTTTGTTTGACATAATGGTATGCATCACAAGGAGACTAAGTATGTTTATTTGATACAAAAGGATAGAATTTAGAAATGACATGTAAGCCAAAATTATAGATATGACCTAGTCTATAATACCATACAAGAGAGCTAATATTAGAACTAGAGTTACAAATTAGAGAAGCATGTTTACCACATGCAATATCGATGACATATAAACCTTTGATCATTTTAGCTATACCATGGTAGGAGTTAAAATTAGAGCTTCGAATGAGTTATCATGGTGAAAAACGTAGATTCTGATTGCATCAACGTAAAGAGATGTCCATCATGCTTTTAGGTTAGCTGACGGTCGTCAGCATAGTGACAAGAGACTGTCATGGTCTACATATGAGATTTTTCCTTGCCAATTGTCATATGGGTGAATAATTATGAGGAGAGAGGATGATAGGTTGGGTGACGCTGGTCACCTACCTAGTCGTCATGACCCCTATGATACCTCTAATTTTAAATTATTAATCTTATTTAATTCTTTGAGTGTTTTTATATATGTTTCTTGATTTATTTAAATTTACTATGAATTATTTGAGTTATTTTGGTGTTTTGTTAGATTTAAGAGTATTTTAATAATTTTAATAAAGATTAATACATATATTATCTCCTACCATATAAGCGGCTTTGAAAAACTCCCTTGTAAAAAAAAGTTTAAATTGTCTCTCTACCTTATGATTCATATATTTTAACCCTTAAAAAAACCAAATCATAAAAAATAACGAAGTGACACTCTTTTGTAATTTTTTTCCTTCTAAATGTGAAGTGGATTGAGTAGATGCTATTTCTTTTTAATTATTATCTTGTTAAATGCCATATTTTCTTTCTACAAGGAATATTTTGAAAGAGGTAAGCTATGGTCAGTCCCTTTGTATTGTTAAGAGGTAGTATTTAAAGGGATGAAAAGTAGGAAGTGAATGTTGAGCCTTTTGTTGGATGACTCAACCATGATCTTGGTGATGTAAGAAAGACACTACTGACATGGGAACTTGAAGGACTTTATTGAAGATAATATTTTGATATCATGGATTGTTTGGTTGGTTTTAGAAAAAGATGGTAAAGAAGAAAGATATAAGTTAGCTTTTTGTAAAGAATAATAAAATGAAAAGGGTCTATTTTTAGAGGCTGAGAGAAAGGTTTATGTATGCAATGTCAATGCTACATAGGTCAGCTGTCAGCATACAGAGTCAGTAGCCGGCCTGAGGCCAGATTTCTAGTTTCTACCTAACATAAGCCTGTCAGAAAGTACACTTTAAGATACTTTATCAGGAAGAACTAGAAATGCAAGTCCATTTAGAAAACTCAATAGTCAATTATATGGATATACATGGAAATTAACCAAGGGTGAGTGGCAGCTAGCTTTGATGATTCATTACTTGCCAATTGTTGAAAAACTTATTTGGCCCAATCACTTATTATGTAAATGTTTAGTTTTCCATGTGGGAGTGATTTGGCTATTTCCCTTCTACCTGAATGTAATGCATCAGAAAGGCTTTATTCCAGCTCAGAAACCTTTAATCACTCCTTTTTATTACCATTTCTACAAGAAATAAAGAGGCAGCCAAACTATGTTTCCAATCAAACCAAACTATTATTCATGTAGACAACTAAACATGCAATCTTCAACTTTTTAATTCATTTTTTCCTTTAGTCTTCATCATCATCCCTGGCTGACTCATCCTCCAAAACCTCAACAGTCACCTTGTTTCCTTTTAACCACATATATGTACTCATTTAGAATACATTCCTTCGTCAACCAAATTCCAAAAACCTCTTCAATATTTTTTACAATAAAATGAATACCTCATTTCTTCATGACCTACTTAATGGGATCTCTAATAGCTCAACTTATCCGACCGGGAAGTCGTCAAAGAGATACTTGCCCGATTCATCTGGCAAATACTGCAAGTCTATCACAAAATCAAACAAGGGTAAGACACATTTACCTTATCAAATACTTTCATCAAATTTAAGTTTATTGATCGTGGTCCTTTTTCTTTTTGCCACGTAAGTTAAATTCAGTTCTGACTAAGATGTCAGATACTGTAAAAGGAAACTGAGGTTGGGAGCAAGAATTCTTCGGGTTGGCAGAGTAGAGAAAGTCTTTATACAGCTCTGTAGTGTTACAGATGGAGAGAAGCTGTTGAAAGCATCACAGTGTTACTTGTCAACCACAGCAGGTCCTATAGCTGGCCTCCTCTTCATATCCACTCACAAAGTTGCTTTTTGCATTGAGAAATCCATCAAGATCACTTCTCCAAAAGGCGAATTTGTTAGAGTTCACTATAAGGTCATTTTCTTACTTTTTTGTAATGTCCACGTTAATGCTCTCAATTTCTCTTACCTATTCTTCACACTGTTAGTCTGTAACCTTAATTAACCTTAACTGGTTTACTATTTCAGGTCTCTATTCCACATGGAAAGATTCAGCATGTCAATCAAAGTCAAAATGTGAAGAAACCTTCAGAAAAACATATGGAAATAGTTACCATGGACGGTTTTGACTTCTGGTTTATGAGTTTCTTCAATTATAAGAAAGCTTTAAGATATCTCCAGCAGGCTATCTCTCAAGTTCAGAGTTAAAAGTCGTATAAATTAAATGAAATTGTCAATCTCTTATGATTATTCTTTCAAGTTGCAGAGAATCCAAAAGTGTACAAACATCTTACATCATTTTGTTAATATAAAGAGCTAGTTGTTTCTTAAACTTTTGGTTCCATTATCTAAAGACATAGTGGTTCCATGAAGTTCAAAACACGATCTAAACATCATTATACATGGGGCTAATTTATGTTAAAATCTGCAAGGAAATTCAATTTCAGATGACAGAAACTAACTTTAACTATGATTGTTCAATAAAAAATACAGAGATTCCTTACTTGTAGGTACCTTAAATACTAAAGAATGTTAAATACTAGTTGAACTTCTATAGCCTAGAAAATGCATAAAAAATACAGAAAAATAAAAAAGATTAAGTGTATAAAATAGTTTGTTTGATTGATTAGATGTTTATTTATACACGTGGTACTTATAGAGGAACTTATTTTACTAGCCATTGCATCGTGACATACAGAAAATGATATTTTATTCGACTATTAAGTGCCTCTTTTATTCTTGTTGATTCACTCAATGGTGCTTCTGCCTCCCTAACTACCTTTATTGATTATCCTTCCTATAATGTATTATGAACAAATAAGGGAAGTTGTAGTTTCCTATTCCTTTTCAATATGTATTTGTATATCTTGAATAGTGTAACAACACTCACACTTGTCAACTCTTCAAATTAGATAGGATAGTTTTTCCTTAGATACTTTCTATTGATTGTTCTACTCAACTCTGCACCTTCCATTATCATTGGGAGATATGCTCCTGTGTTATAGGCTTTTCCAATCATGAAGGCTCCTCCCAATTTGGCAACCATTCTATGAACTAGGATCCTTAACCTCATCTAGAAAAACAACTTTCAAAACTAACTCATTGTCAGTAAATCTGGTCATCAGTCGATCTTCATCTAGAGAGTCTAACTTCTTTACTATAGATGGTTGATACCCCATCCGCAAAAAGTTGGTATTTATTGGCAACTCTAGATGAAGCTACGCTAATATTCTAGCGTAATATCCTAACCATAGATAAGTAGCACTACGATGCTTTCAAAAGCTTCCCTTTATCTTTTAACACTAAAGAGTTGCATAAACACTTTTTCATCTTTTAAGAAAAAATGAAAAATTGAAGATTAGTTTTCTAAGGTTACATAACATACTATCGGACGCCATGTTCAAAACCATCCCCCTTTCTCCCAAATATGTTCATCAATGAAATTAGATTTGATAGAAGTATTCATGTAATACAGTCTTGTTAATGTAAGTGTGTCCATCTATACCTTGCTTTAACCTTATAATGGGTTTGTTGTAGATGCGATCTTTTGCCAATGCGGCCGTTGGAGCTATTGCCTTTAGGATACCATTCTTTAGTATTCTAACTGATTTAGTTTTTGGATTGTTTTTTAATTTTACTATTACTGTTATTTATAACTTGAATGTTTAGAACAATTTAAGTTACTATGTTATATTGTCCATCCTTTTATACATGATATCATACGAAAAGGATGCAAGCAATCCTAATGAAAAATGTTGTAAAGTGAAAGTGTATTATGTAAGATAACAGACCATTAGTAGAGACTAGTACAAGAACAAAATATTTCAGAACCTAGAATTAATAATGTCACGATATTCCATATGTACCTGACACCGAATGAAGCTTGTTTGAGGCCAAAGATTGCATAGAAAACAAAATGTGAGTCAAACATCACGGCAGAATGTAGAAACCAACAAATGATATAGAAAACAAAATTTAGAATAGTGAGTAAATAATAAGGAAATTTTATATTCTATAGTGAAAGATTTAAATGATTGTTAACTATATAAAATGCATAGAGTGGTGACAAAACCAACAGCTATAACTAACAAATAATTCCATATGAATTAAGAGTAACCTGTGATTTTAAACAAATAACAAACTTATAGGCTGCAGCAGGTCAAGAAGCACAACTAGAAAGGTGATATCAAACTCTCAACATATACTTCTGGTGTCATGTCATGCTCTCTGCTGTATTGAAATTTAGGAATCTTAAAAGTATTATTTATGAAATTATAAACCACCAAATTAATTTTCCCATCGTTTAGAAACTCCATCAGCACTTGGTCATACTTTGAAATATATAATGCTCTGATATAGACAGAAGGCTCGCATTCTTTCATGTGAGGAACACTTAAGAATTTAGTCCAAGACTTTTCATTCCCATATTCTTTCATAATCCAAACATCATAAAACTTGTCCCTTTGAGAGAGGAGGGACAAACAACCTCTCAATGTCCCTAAAGAAGTTGTAATATGCACATTTTTGACGGGCAATGAAAGGTTTTGATAGGACTCTTTCTCCAAATCAAGAGAAACAATGAACCGTGCAACATCATCTTCATCCCATAGCAACCAATAAACAGAGTCACTCACAAATATTCCCGGTGCAGGAGCCAACCCATAATTTGGGAAGTCTTGAATCGTTCTCCAATAATCAGTACCCACAGTATGAACGCTGACTCCGTTTTTACTACCAAAGGTCCTATAGATAGCAATAATCTTATAATTATTGGTGAAACGATCATACACCAAGGTATATAAGGTATAAAATGGTTCTGGAAATGTCAAAGGAGGCAATAATTTGAATTTTCCAATGAAAGGGTTGCACAAGAGAGCGGAAGAAGAATCTATCTTAAAACATACCAGGCCGTCGCAAGTGGAAGGTCTATGACCAAAGAGTCCTTTGATACGAAGCTTTGTAATAGAGTACCGGAACTGTTGGACAGTAGTAGTGGTGAATATGGAGGTGAAGATAGGGGAGATTGGGGAATGTAAAACATGGAACTCAGGTGAGGCGGGAGTAGGGGTTAGAATGAGGTGGTGGCGGTCCTGGCTGGAGGTTGACAAACGGAGGTGCTTCTTGGCGAAGATGGAATCTGCGGAGATAAGAGAATTCCATGACTTGCATACGCAACGGAGTCGAACGAGGTGTTTCGCGGAGAGTCTACACAGAATATCTGCCACCAGATCGAACGGAAGATGCAGGGAAGTTAGGGTTTCTTGAGACGGTTTCATTCTTTTGCTATCAAAATCCTAAACAGAACAAGGCTAGGGAACTTATGCACTAGTAATCAAATTAAACTAATAATTTAATAATATTAATTTATTATATAATTTAATAATATAAAACATATTTTATATTAGTATTTAATAAATATCATGGACTAAGAATAAATACAATATGTACATTTAAGTGGTAAATACATTCAAATTGAGTAGCATAACCGAGTTGTTGGGGTGCTGCATGTGACATTTGAATTAAAGGGACTAAGAGCAACTTTAGTGCAGGGTTGTTAAACCAAAATTTTGTATAGCTTACGTAAATAATAAAGAATTTACATTATAGTAGAGCTGACATGGCATCCAAGTGAACTAAAATTTAATTCTCATTATCTATATAGTTAACGTTAACTATGTGAAATATATTATAATATTATTTATTTAATTAATACAATATTTCAACAACATTAAAGTAATGACATGATATTTGAAAATAGTGAGTTCAAGTTTTGGTTTCTTATAGACAACCATCATCAAAGTAAAAACTACTCAAATGAACTATAAATTTTTTAAATCTTACAAAACACTTTGAGCCCACAAAAAATATCTTAGTTTACCCATTTAGTTTACTCACATTAAAAATGCTCTAAGTTCAAGTTCTATTGACTCCAACTTTTTATGATTTTTAAGTTTTTCACAACTCATAGTCTATTTTTTTTAAGTCTTCTTAAATTATTATTTTTGATTATTGACTTTCTTGAGTGGCCAAAATAGAGGAATCTTCGTAAGGCAGAGAGGAAATTCAAACTTTTTTTTATATGTGGTTTTTCAAAACGTCCACATGACAGGGGATAAAGTAGGTACTTTTCGCGTAACAATTTTTGCCAAATAGCATTGGATTCTTTAAGAAGTCGCCACAACCATTTCACCGCAAGTGCCAAATTGAACAATCTTAAATCCTTCACACCTAAACCCCCTCCTTTGACTTACAAATAGTTTCCCAAGAAACCCAAGCCATTTTCTTCTTCTCCTCCAGACCTTGTCACAAAAAGCTCATTTGTATTGAAATAAGCTTACCCAACACTTTCTTTGGCACCCTGAAAAGGGATAAAAAATATACTGACAAACTTGTCAACACAGATTGATCAATGCCATCCTCCCACCCATAGCAAGATCTTCCCTTTCCAAGACGAAAATTTGTTCTTGAATCTCTTGACAACCGGTATCCAAAAAGACACCATACGAGGTTTGTCGCCAACCTTTAAATCGAGAAAGTTAAAAGGTATATAACCAATTCGGCAAGCCAAGAACTGTTCAGCCACCCTCAAGTAATAATCTTCAATGCAAATCCCATATAAACAACTCTTACCAATATTGACTTTCAATCCTGAAATCAGCTCAAAACCCTTCAAAATCGCCTTGAAAGCCCATAAATTCCCCCAATCACCATCGCTCAAAAGAATTGTATCATCAGCATACTGTAATAGAGTAAAAATTACAGATTCATTAATCTTAAAACCTTTAAGAAACTCTGCATCAGCAGCCCTACGCACCATTAAAGCCAATCTTTCCGCAACGATTGCAAATAGGAAATGAGATAAAGGATCTCCTTGTCGCAATCCTTGACAAACCCGAAAATCTTCAGCCAGACTCCCATTTTCTAGAACCTACATAGAACTTGTAAATAATCCACCTTCCATCCATCTTAACCACCTTTCACCAAACCCCATCGCCCTCATCATTTGCTTCAAAAAAGACCACTTGACACTGTTGCATGCCTTTGAAAAATCAACCTTGAATAATAAACAACTTTGCTTGCTTTTCTTTTCCAAATCAACTAATTCATTCAAAACTACCACTCTATCTAAGAAGGTTTATGAATTGAATACTACCCATTCTCAATGGTGGGGGAACTTAATGAAAATCAGTTCTTGCGGTCAACCGATGTCTTTTGGTGATTGTATTTTAGTTAGGTTGGGAGATGGTCGTTTAATATTGTTTTGGACGACAAAATGGGTGGGGAATGATAATTTGAAAACATTGTTTCCGAGGCTGTTTTTGTATACAAATGATAGGAGGCGTACGGTTGATGAAATGAGAGTTTGGAATGCTGCAGATTGGACGTGGCATTGGAACAATAACTTCCAGCAACCTTTTCCTACTGCAAATCTCTATGTTAAGTTCTAAATGTTGGCAGAGATGCTGCTTGAGGTCACACTAGTTAGGAATGTTTCAGACATGGTCATTTGGCCCTATGAAGAGTATAACAATTTTTCTGTCAAGTCCTTTTATGAAAAGTTACAGGCTGCTGCAGGTGTGGCTTCACATCAGGATGAAGAAACTATGCTAGCATTGAAACATGTATGGAAAGCTTCCATTCTCTCAAAGGTGAAAATGTTTGGATGGCGAATGTTACGGGATAGATTGACAACGAGGGGGAATTTGTTTCATAATTTGGTATGTGTTTTTTGCTTCCATCATCTTGAGGATTATACTCATTTATTTATCACTTGTCCTAAGATTTTGCCTGTATGGAGTAAAGTTTATGATTGGTTGGAAATTGAAGGAAATTATGAAATTCGGGTTCCTAAACACCTTTTGTATTGGATTTTAAGTTTTAAAGGGAGAATTTCAAATTACATAGCTTATAGTTTGTGGTTGGTGATTTGTTGGAATGTTTGGAGGGCAGGAAACAATATTATGTTCAATGATGAAATAACGGATCCAAATATCATTTTCTTGCGTATTAAATTTTATTCTTGGTGGTGGATTTTAGTGTTATCTAAAAGACATATGCATTGTATTTTTTACGAGTGACATATGCATCCACTTGACTTTTTGTAAATAATTAGGTAGTGATCGATTTCGTAGGTTGATTTGTAGGATGTATTGTTGGATTAAGGTACCCCTAATACCTTTTATTAATATACTTCTAGCTTATAAAAAAGAGGGATAAACAGGTGTTAACCCATTTAATAATTAATGAGGATATATAGTATTTGAGGACCGAGAAATAAGATTGAATTATTAAAATAATTAGAGATATTTGAAATAATTAACTGAATAAAATAAAAAAATTATTTTATAATTATTAAGTAAATCGAATTTTAATTAAATAATTATTTAGTAAAATTTTTATTTAATAGATAAAAGTGTTATATTATTTTTAAAATACAAATTTATAAGTTAAAATAATTATTGAGATTATTTTATAAATTATTGGGATTATTAGTAATATTACCGTTCAAAAGTACTTAGAGTTAATTTTTTAAAGGGGGTCTGAGTGAGGGATGTAGAGATCAATTGAGATTTTATGGTTATATTTAAACTAATGTGAGAGGACTTGATGACACAGAGAAAAAAAATCAGAATTTGAGAAAGCAGCCGATCGTGAAAGAGAAATTTTGGAACAGAGTTTTGGGAGCATCCGTGAGGAACGTGAAGAAATTTGTCAAAGTTTCAAATTTCGAGGTAGAGAGAATTGTTTTACTTATGAGTGACTTTAAGAAGTCAGGATAATGAGGGGTACTTACCCCCCTTTCTCTGTAATTCGTATTATACGACCTTTGTCCTTATTGATGACCAAGCGAGTTTGACCAAAACCCTAAGGTCATTGATTAATGTTTTACTATATAATTTTGTTGTTACAATGAAATTACTTATGAATCTGTAATTGTTGTTATGCTTTTTAAAGATTTTCTGATAATTCGTTAGGTGTATGATTACTGTGATATTGTTGTTATGATTTCTGAGCTTTTGAGATTTTTGTAAAATTTGAAAATTGTATTGCTCTATCTGTTCAGGTGCAATTTGATTAATTTGGTTTCTTTTCCAATGAATAGAAACTAAGTATTTTAAAAAATATTAGAAAAACAAAATTTCTTCAAATTGTAATTTTTAATGAAGAATCAGAAAAATTGAGTACGAGCTATACGACGGGGCTGTACGACTGGAGCTGTAAGGGCGGATTGTGGATGGCAGGCGACGATTTTGGGAGTTTTCAAATTTACAAGTTAGTTTGGCGAAACTAAACAATTTTGGTGTTAGTAACCTTTTTGATAAGTTGAGATAAAATTATCAATTTAGAGTTAATTTTATTATTATTTGAGTCAAACCGCTAGCCCATAAGGAGTTCAATAGAGTTACCACCTGTGAAAGTTGTCAGTGTGACACTTTTGAGTACTTTGAGTACTCAAGGGTCACCATAGAGTTGTCAAGTTTTATTGGCGAGTTATTTAGAGTCCTCTTGTGAACTCTCTAAAAATATTTAAATTATTTTTGAGTTGAGACTGTATAATATAAATATACCCTTTTGAGATGTTTTTGAGTTTATTTGCTGAGTTGAAGTAAATTAACGAGTAACAACACAATTTTACTCTATGGTTGATTATTTTGAGAAAATATAGAAATATATTATGTTTTGAGTTTGTAATTTAGTAGAACTACAGTGAGGTCTGTTATTGGCAAATTGTGAAATTTGAGTTATAATATGATTATGTAAAATTAATTATATTTTTGGAGTTGGGTAATTCGGTGGAATTACATTAAGGCATGTTATTGGAGAATTTTGGTTCAAAACTAGAACCTATTTTTGAGTATAATTTTGAGATTAGATGTTGATCATTGTATGATTGTTTGAGCTTATGAATTAATAATCATGCATACATGTATATTGTAGTAAGGTAGGACTTCAATTCAATGAGGTCAGGTTCAAAGAAGAACCATGACAATCTCATGTCCAGAGAGAGACACGGGTTAGAGAGGAATCAGAGACAGAGAAAATCAGTAACATATCTTTGATCCCCAAAGCCCGGTACCACATGCATATTTGGATGAGAAGTTATTGCATTCTTATTTGTATTATGAATTTTTTTGGTTGTTGTTGTTGTATGAAAATGTCTGTGTAATTACTATTACTATCTTGCTATCTATTTTCACCGATAATATTTGCAAGGTTTATTCGCACCCCTTTCTTTTTGTTTTGTGTGGCTTTGTGAAATATTGCACGATACTTA